TGAGTAAGAAGAGAGATAAAGCTTTATTGCACTGCTAAAGGCCTCCTGAGCCTAGTGCAAAAAACGGAACGACTCTATCAGTCTTTGTTAGAAAATGACAGATGTTCTAGCGAAGGCACATAGGCGAAAATCAAGAGTTGAGAAAACTGACTTTGAAAGTTCACTCTTGTTTGGAAGTTCACAACATGCCTAAAACACTCAGAATCCTCCTGGGCAGTAATCCTGAGATGCTGTGGCCTTGGCCTCTGTAGAGCGCAACCCAGTTTTGCGCTTCTTTGTCGTGGAACAATGCGCCTTTTGAGCCCTCTTTACCCTTTTGGCATCCTTTTCGGCTGCTCGCCGCAAAGAGCAGTCTCCTGGATTGAAGCCCAGTTGAGCAGTGATCTCTTGCAGCGCACTCTTGCAGCCACCATTGAAACGGCAGACTGCATCTGCAACTGCACTTTCCACACTTCGAAGGGAGGCGAACTGGCTCTTGGACTGGAGTGACCAAATGAGGCTGTTCATACTCTCCACAGCGTTCTGGGTTTTTCCCTGCGCACACCTTTCAAGGAGCTCTTTGTTCGAGAGGCGCTTGTAGATTGGCAGCAGTGCCACTCGCACGTGAGGGGGCAGTTTATGTTTGTGAGGCGGCAGCGGCTCTCCCTTGGCCAATGCCTGATTGTGCGGGCACCAGGAGTCAGTCCCACTTGGGCACAGGTTGTGGTGTGGATCCTGGTCTGTGGATGTTACATGGTAATAAGTGGCCATGATGGCCCTCTCCATGCCAGGAACATCGTTGGGGTGGCTCTTAATGGCCCAGCCATAATAATTCGTCAACTTCTTTATCAGGCCCTGCGTCAGCCGGCCTTTGCCACCCATGCTCAGTCCTCGGCCTTTGGATTTGTGCTCATCAAGAAGGTTGCGCAAGGAAGTGCCCATTCTTTTTTTCACATGGTTCACACACTCCTGTTTCTTAATCACCATGTAGCCATACACCTTGTCTTGCGTGAGGGCAAGGTACGTACGGCTGTCACCGTCGCAGAGCACATTGATGTATCGAAGCTTGTACTTGGTAAACGATCTTTCAAACATGATCCTAGCTGCTTCTACTTCCATTTGGCCTGCATTAGCATCGGTGTTCTTTTGGCACTGTGGCTTGTGTTTCTCAAGCCACTCCTCATAGTTGTCGTCACCAGGCTTGGGGCCAACAGCACAGCCTTGGCAGTAGTTGGACAGGACACAGTGGTCCAAGACCAAGCCTGTGTACAGCTCGATTACACAGCCCACGCCAATATGACTTCTGTGCCCCCTCGTCATCCACGTGCCGTCGTAAATGACGTCAATGTTGCCTGGCACTCCTCCTAGGTCCTTGTAAATGTCATGCACCTTCTGTGCACTTTCTGCTTCAATGCGGGTGGCAGCTGATGTGGTGGCAGGGTGGCTGTACTTCCTTTGCAGTCTCTGGTAGGACTTGTGGTGCAGTGCTCGATGCGAAATGTCCATCGCAGAAAAAATGTCATTTATGGCAGATTGTTTTCTGCCAACTGATTGCACAGCCCTCAAAGCACGCACGTTTACCTCAAAGGGGTTCGTTTTTTGTTGCCCGGAGCACCTCGGGGACGACCACGCACTGTTCACTCTGCCACAATTGTCACAAAAAAGTTCCATCCTCGCCGCGAGTCCAAGGCAGTGCGTAGTCTCGAGGCGTATCGACCCTTCGTCGCACTTGTTGCACTTTACTGACGAAAGCAGACCGTTCAGCATCTTCTTATTTACAATGAAGAATGTGGAGTCCTTACCGCCGTCATTTTCGTCGCAGCCTTCGTTCAGAAGCTCGAGCTTCCGCTTTGAAGCGGACTTCGATGCTACGGCATCCAAAACATCCCGCCTTGTCTGCGCCCGCTGCGCGATTTCTTCACTGCTCGGAATCTGGGCCGAAACTCGCGATAGAATGTTCGACGCGCGCACGCCCGGAGTTGCAACGGCTGCCGACGCGGTGCCAGCGCAATCGGGTTCGCGAGAGCGTCCATCACGGTCGACGGCATCCGGCGGTCTGACATACGACGATGTGGCACCTTCCACACTCTCGGCCTCACAACAATCAGCGAAGGGTCTGAGTAGAGGCTCCGTGACGCTTGAAGAGCATGCTCCGTCCGGAACTGCGACTGGGACGGCAGCCGCAGTCGTCTGCCCTTTGTTCCAAGCTTTCCGACGCTTGCCGTACTTGTGGACGCTCCGGAACTTTTTTTGCGGCAACATAGCACCGCAGTATGAGCAAGCACTCAGAAGAGACCACCGATGTAAACAAAGCTTGGTAAAAAAAGCACGCGAACTATCACAAAAACAGCAAACTGGCAAAAAACGAAGCGCACGCCGGATGATTCTCGACACGGCGGCCGCAGATGCGCTCGCGCTTCCAAGGTTGCCAAGGTGCGCGGCGCAGCTTTGACCAGTAAGAGGTCGCGCCTGCTACCACGTGACCCGCGCAGCCAATTGCCGTTCTTCGTTTTCGTTTTTTTACTTGCTCCTCGCGCTTTTATTTTCACTCGGCCAAATACGAGACCGCGACCATCGGGAAGCCGGCTTTCTCCTCTTTCCAAAGCTACCAAAATGGCGGCCCACGGTCAACAACTTGGCGCGTTTGTGCGGCGTGAACAACACCGTTTCAGGGGCTTTTTTTTTCGCACTTTTCGGCGACTAGCCTCGGCAAAAACACTATTTGCGGGATTTGTAGCGCACGTTTCGCTGTAATATTTTAGAACAAGGAAGTTGAAGGTCTGAAGATTACGAAAAAAAATAAATCAGAAAATCGCATATTTTGACCAAAATCGGCACTTTACTTGCCGCGCCCCCCCTTAAGCACTGTCGAGAGGGTTGACAAAGGGATGCCGAATTCTTTGGCGATGCACGACTTGCTTCGACTTGCTTTTTCCACTTCCTTGATTAGCGCTACTTTTCTCTCCGTCAGAGATTTGCACTGCTTTGGGCGGGACATCTTGGTTGATACGGAAGCGTCCGTTGCACAGACCACTCACTACTCAGCAAAACTGAGCTCAAGAAGCGTCGTGCACAAATCGCGAGGAAAACAAAGAATACCAGCTCGCACATGCAAGGGCTAGGTTGCGTACTGACGGGCGCATGCTGCACACATGATCACTCCCACAGTTGCCTGACAAGGCTGATAGGAAACGGCTGCGTCCGCGGGAATTTCAAATTCGCCCTTCACGACTGCATTCGGCACGTATAGTAAGAGCTAAGCGTTCGCACGGAGCCCTCGTTTCCCATTGGGAGTAGACTTTGCCTTCTGCCCTCCCTGTCAAGATTTCGAGATATCCACTGTTCCCTCCGGAAAACGTTTCGAGATAAGAGGGGGCAAATACATAGCACCTATGGGAGGTTAATGCACGGCGAAAAAAAGACTTAACCGAGATTTCGAGATATGCGAGTTCGAGTTAACGAGGGTTTACTGTATGTCTGTTTGGGTTTGTCCCAGAAAAGCTTATGCGACTTCTTTTGACAGAAATGTTTTTTTTTTCTTCTTATGTCGTGGTTTGGAAACCAATTTTGCTAGTATTTTATTATTATTATTAGTATTACACAAAATTTTGGGTAGCACCTTCAATCCCGCTAGGAGATTGGCCCAGAGAACACCAAGATTCTACATGGTGGGGATGGAAGGGGGGCCATATTTCCTTTTGTAGGAATCTCACCGATTCAATATCCTTGAACTTGGCAGGTATGTTAGTATCGGAGGCGGTCATTTGTTGTGCTGGCCAGTTTATGGAGCCAAGGGTTAGTTTCCAGCAATACCTGGTCTCAGTTTTGCTGCAAACGTATGCGAACAGCTGGCCTTGCTGCTGCCAGCGCAGTTGGGGGGAGTGTTCTCGTGATTAGCAATATGTGCACCTGTGGAAAAGACCGGCTTCAGTGCAACACTGTAATGACACGGGGGCAGCATGTCACCTGTTGTACCTCGCGGCATCACCGTGTCATGATGCCACCATTCACCCATTCTTTCTGGCAAAACAATTTAGTAATGGCTAGTTTGATGGAATTAGCAATGTTCTTGGCTGAAAAACATCATTGAAGGTATCGAACTGAGTTATCAAACTGGGTGCAGCAGGCAAGAACTCCCCAGCACTCCAAGTGCGAAATTTGCGGGAGCAACTGCCTATGGTAGGTGTGCATATGCAAGTTCTGTCAGACAGTCCCTTATTGATTTTTTTTATTCCAAAAAAGAATGGGTAAGTTATGACACGCTGACATTGCGAAAAGCAGGTGACATGCTGCATGGGTGTCACCACTGTGTTGCTGTGAAGCATACTCTTTTGTGTGTGTGTGTGTGCTGGAAGCAGCAAGGCTGGGTGCTTGACCTGTCGCTCATTAGTATCCCTACATTTCATCGCCTTGTGGCTACTAACAGCTGTTGTGTCCACATATTAGTGGCGAAATCATCATTGGGAATCTGCATGGGGCACCCAAATTAACCAGGCAGGTACTGGCTGCTGCTTTGAATTCTCTACTCAAATTTGCATTGCGAAATGCGGGACTGCAGTGATTCTTCAAATTAAGTGGGAATTATGAATTGATAGCTCGAAATAATGAGGTTTTATTCTAGTTGCTACATGTGCACAACCATCTTTTTCATTCACCTCTCCTCTGTTTTTCCTTTGTTTGGTTTCTCCATTTCTTATCCGCTGGGGAGCTCACAATAAGGTGTGAAATTCAGTTTTTATTTTTTTTTTAAGACTGTGTGCTGGCTGGATGGAATGTGAAGGGGTGAACTTTGTTTGGACTAAGAAAGGCTGTCTGAGGAATGAGAGCGTTCGTGTGCAAAATATCCTTGAAAGAATGTTAACTTGAAGATGTGCTTAGTGTATGCTGGGGAATTTTTGCTATCTTGAAGAGTCACTTGGGGCTTGTTTTAAGGAGTTTCATGGAAAGTGGTTTGAGAAGTTACAGTTTTAAAGTTCTTGACAGGTTCTGATGCACGGCTTTTGCAATTTTTTTTCTTGCAGGAACTGGAAATGCTGATGATGATGAACAGGCGGTACTGTGCAGAGATTGCACACGGCGTGTCGTCCAAGAAGCGCAAGACGCTCGTCGAACGGGCTCAGCAGCTTTCCATCAGGGTGACGAACGCCAATGCAAGGCTCCGCTCCGAAGAGAACGAATAAACACATTTTCATGCTTGCCAATTGCACTGCTCCCGTTTTGGCAGCAGAGCTGTTGAAGTTCCCCTGAAGTTGGTTGGTTGTGTACAAACATTACCATTCCCAAAACACCATACCTGATGGTTGAGAGCCTGAATACAGAAATAAAAAGGGAAGAAAGACTGAGGGAGAGATTAAAGAAGAGGTAGGAAGAACAGCAAGACAGAGAAACAAAAGGGCGAGATAAACAGCAAGACGGGGAGAAACAAACAAAAAAAAACCTGAAATGGGAACGACAAACAAGATAGAGCAAAAAACGCGGGGCCAAGCTTTGAAATTTCTTCAGGTTTGACACCACTTTTGGGAAGTTGCCCCAATTGTTTTTGGTCTAGAGCGCACATGTAAGGGGATCAGATAGCTTTGAGTAGCGATTTTCAGTGTTTATACAACCACATGTTGCACCACTCTTGCAATGAGGAAAGTCTGGAAGGACAAGAAATGACAAATTGTCACCACCTTAGAAGTTCACACAGCAGGGCCACAACTTAATATGCCTTCATAATGGACTGTTCATTCTCTCCACACTTCTTTATAGTGAAGGCATGTGTAAAACATCATAGACGGGCGAGCTTCAAGTGATTGTGAAGTGAGGACGAACATTCTGATGCGTAACACATAAAAGCAGTTGTTGCAGTGCTGAGATGACGACCTGCAGGTCGCAAGTTCACACCCTGTTTAGACGGTTGTATTTTGATGCAGGTGATATAAGAGACAGTATGCAGTGCAATGCCAGTCCACCTTTTTTTTCATCAGCATCAGATGGCCGACATTTCAAGAACCTTGCTCTACAGCTATGTCGCATAATACAGTATTAGCTGATCATTACACTCCGCTCTGCACGAGCATAGCCCAATCAAGTGTGGGGAGCTGCATAGATTTGGCGTTTTTGACGAGCATGCCGTAGAGAGGCGTGCACAGCTTTGCTGCGTACCAACACCAAAAGTGAGTGGATGCACATTCCACTGAACTGACAAGGGGAGCGAGAGGTGCATTCTGTGGGCACTACAGTTCGTCCTATGCAATTGCGTGTGTGCTCGCATTCACAGCTCTGATCGCAGCAAGTCGTAAACACATCCGTTTTTATATTGGGGTTTTTGGCTCGCTAAACCAGGTCATGAAACGTGCAAGATCGGGCACCATCCACCTTGCTATCCCAGAACTTTCTTGAACCCAGTGCAGAGCTTTAGAATAACCTCCATTGTATCTTGCATGTAATGCCATATCCTTGTACATTGTGACGTTCACAATTTTTAGTTTATTAATGTAGAGCAACAGAAATCGAGGAGAGGGGGGGTTGCTTTGCTGTTGAGGAAATTAAATGCTTTTCTTAAGCGCTATGCCACTCAGCTAACCCCTTTTCTGCAAAAGATATTTTCCTTATTAGAAACAGCTGTGCTTCCTGATGATTGGTTGTGTGCAAAAGTTATTCCTATCCATAAAAGTGGGAACAAACAACTGATAAACACATACAGGCCAATATCACTGACAAGTACATGCTGCAAGCTAATGGAGCATATAATAAAGCACTTATGACCTATCTAGAGGACATAATATGCTATATCCGAACCAGCACAGTTTTAGAAGGAAGCTTTCGACCACTACACAACTTTTAGAGATTACTCATGACTTTGCTTTAGCTATTGATTCTAGACTGCGAATAGATGCAATATTTATTGATTTTTCTAAGGCATTTGACCGCGTTCTGCACTCGTTGCTCATACAAAAACTTGAATCATTTGGGGTTGACTCAAAAATCGTCCATTGGATTGCCGCTTATCTTTCCAACCGCACCCGGTATGTTTCTTTTAATAATGGCGGCCCCGCCGCGGTGGTCTAGTGGCTAAGGTACTCGGCTGCCGACCCGCAGGGCGCGGGTTCGAATCCCGGCTGCATTTCCGATGGAGGCGGAAATGTTGTAGGCTTGTGTGCTCAGATTTGGGTGCACGTTAAAGAACTCCAGGTGGTCTAAATTTCCGGAGCCCTCCACTACGGCGTCTCTCATAATCATATAGTGGTTTTGGGACGTTAAACCCCACATATCAATCAATCAATGACGAGTCCGACTGTGCCGACGTGTTCTCTGGTGTTCGCCAAGGGTCCGTACTAGGACCAACACTCTTTCTCAAAAACATCAATGACATCTACACTGCTATGGAACCAGGTATTACAATGAGGCTTTTTGCAGTTGACTGCGTCATATACTCTCCCACTAGCACTACAGAAGACCAGGTGAAACTTGACAAATCTTTAGAAAATATTGGGCAATGGTGTGAAAAACATGGTATGCAAATTAATACAGGCAAAACCATGTGCATTACAATTTCCCATAGAAAAACACCGCTTCACCTTTAGTACAACTTCTCTGGGGCAGACATCAAGCACGTAAATACCGTAAAGTACCTGGGGGTCACAATAACATCATCGTTAAAGTGGGATGTCCACATTAATAAAATTTCTGCACGTGCATTTAAACAACTAGGTTTTTAAGGCGTAAACTAACCGGAACTTCCCCTCAAGTTAAACTAACAGCGTACAAGGTGCTCATTAGACCCATCCTGGAATATGCAGCTATAGTTTGGAACCCGCACCAAAAGAACATGATTGATGCATTGGGAAAGATTCAAAACCGGGCTCTTAGGTTTATTTTTTCAAAGTATGCCAGACGGGAGAATGTTTCTGCGCTGCGTTTGCAAGCACATGTCGCAACTCTTGCTAGCCGACGACAATTAGCCAGCCTGAAATTTCTTTTTCTTCTTTCAAACAACCTGGTAAATTTAAATAAGGATGATTACCTTAAAGCTCCGCACCGTCACTCCAGTAGAACTAACAATGACAAATGCATACGCCCATTCCTGTCACGTTGTAACACGTTGAAGCATTCTTTTTCGTGTTCTCATATTGTGCTGGTGGTTGCAGCTCGCTGACTCCAGGCTGAGAGGATGCACATTTAGAGGTGAAAAGCTAGGTCGTTGTGGGTGAACAAGTCCAAGCCATTTAATAGAATACTCCCTGCTGTTTCTACAGCGACTTGTCTCGTTAAAGGCACGGACGCCCGAATGGTCGAAGGAATTTGGAAATTAACCGGAAGTTTCAGGTGTGTTTTAGAGGAAGAACTTGTTTGAACAGTTGCAGGTAAGCTACTACCAGACCACTCTGAGGCTGGAGCCATTGGCGCTATTTTGTTTGAGTGTTCCTTGAGGATCAGCAGTGCTGTTCAACAGTGTTTTTTGTTAGTCACTGCCACAAAGCAGCCCTGAGAAAATGAAGGCGAGCTTTAGTCTTATGATTGGCTCACAAGACATAAAGAACCCAAAAACAATCTGTACTATAGTTCTAGTATGCAGCTTTATTGACTCTGATCTCAGTTATGCAATAAGATTCTGTTCAAGTAACTTTACATAGAGTGGCAGTCTGGGCAAGTCAAAATCAGATTGTTTTGGTGAAATCTGAGAATTACATTGTTTTTATTTCACACTGATTTTCAACTTCAGTTTTAGTAGCAGTTAAATGTTAATAATAATTGCTTCTACAATGCAGTGCTCCGCTTTTTGTGACTTGGGTCTTGTTTCTGCCACAAGTATCGATCGGTATTTTGAATGGTTCACTTCATAATGCATTAAATAAACATCTTTTTAAATGTTTGCTTTTTTCCAACTTACATTGATGGTCATCTGTGCAATACATTTCGTAATAAATAATGAATGAAATTCTTCGGCAATGCTCTGAACTCTGGGACTTGCATGGCATATTTTGTCATCTAAAATGCAGATAGCTGCTCCAAACAAGCATTTTTTTTTCTGCTTCAAAAACACTCGAGTCTGCTCTAAAACAGTTATTTAGACGCTTTTATCCCTGCAAGTAGCCAGCATACCTTACTGACCAAATAACTTAGGTTCATGAAGTGGTAGTTGGGGCAACTTGGCGATTGCGTGACTGCTTCGCATTAATGGAGCAAGTGTAGAGCACCACACAGCTGCTGGTTTCAACTAAGCTTTATTTGCTTAGCGGCCTGGATTGTGTTCGCAAGAAATGAGTAAAACCCACACATGGTATCACTCGTATGTTCTCTTATCCCACTGTGTCCGAATACATAATTTCTCCATTTGGTGAGGATACACCAACTATATCCTCAATGTCTGTGTGCGGTCCATTGCCTTCGGCAACGACAAAATGATTTTGCTATAAACGCGCACTGTCTGACAATGCTCATATCTTGCGTATATGTTTCTGGCACTTTCATCAACAAAGCGTAGTTGGAAGTTATTGCTTATTGTTCTATAGCAGAGCCAGAAATTATTTTCGAGGGGGGGGGGGGGGGGGGGGGGGGGGTAGGGTTTAAACACTGTCCATGTTTGTGTGTATATATGCAGATGCGAAATTCAACATTGGAGGGTAGGTTTTGATCCCCCCAGCTACACCATTGTGCGTGTTCTGTTTTTTTCTTCCATACTCATTACGTCTGTGCTGTGAAGTGTTAAAAAATGCAGTGTATGTAAACACGTGATGTATGCAGTGTGTGCGGTGTAAACTGCTACATTACGTATGGTATTTTGATTGAAACACGAAAATGAAGGGCTGAGTAATGCGCATACTTTCGTTTCCACTGCCTTCTGTTTGGATCACATTGGTGTGATTCTGACTCTGAACGTGTAGATCAGAGCCAACCTTCTCTTTCTCCTCCCTCCCCCATTCCATACAAGCGCGTGTACTTGGTCTGTGTTTGTCACTCTTGCTTCGCTCCCGTTCAGATGAGTTGCAACGGCATCGTCGGCACCAGTTGAAGCAGCATTCCAGCCTCTGCCGAGATCGTCGCAGAACAAGGTGATCCTGAGCTCCGGGTCAGTGCAAGCCAAGTGTCCGCGTTGACCTGCTCACCCCAAAGTCCGGAACCCTTTTGTCGAAGCCCAGCATTTGTGTCGAGCTGCAGCTTCGGCTACCGAGAGACAACGTGAGTCTGCGGCGAGGGTAGCGAGGCTTTTGAGACAACTGCAGCAACTGGCAACTGACGGAGCGACCGCACGCGAGACT